AGTGGTGTTGCCATCTTTGGTTACGTAATGTGGTGGCAACAGTTTTGCGGGTGTTTGAATTGAGCACTGCAGCATATCAATGAAGTTGTGTCTTAAGCACCAGTAATATTTTGTAAATAGCAACACCCTTTACTCAACCAATGACACCAAATATCATAATATGTACATCATTAGGTCTGAATGTTTTACCGTATTTGGTTATTAACAAGATTCTTTAAAGCGATATCTTAACTTGTTTGTCTATTATTTATATGTAATTTATAAAACATCTACACCGCAACGAGACTATAATTCCAAAAGTAATTGCGAAGATGTAAACAGAATTAAAAATCAATTACCAACGCAACAATGGTCACAATATTTCTTCTTTAAATTATTCTTATTTAATGATTAGACTTAATCGCGTCGTCGATATGTAATGAATCTTATCTATCGTTTCCGATTAATTGAGAACCAACAGTGGTCCTTTATATCTTATATATAAAATTCTCGTGTTACCTTACTCCTCCGAAACGGCTTTACTGATTTTTACCAAATTTTATATGCATATTCATTAGGCCTGAGAATCGGCTACTATCTATTTTTCATACCCCTAAGTGATAAGGGTTGTTCACCCTTAACATATTTTTTTAATTTTTGGACAATTTTCTTTGTTTTTATTTTTTTATGATACAGCATACAAAAATACATGCAACCCTAAATTTTCATCCCTCTACGCTGACGTAGTCGCGGGCAGCAGCTAGTATCATATATTTTTAGATGCTAGTATCATTGTATTCAGCATATCCACAACGGCTTAACTTTTCAAATAACATTCATGATCGAGATGTGAGTCAAGTATCAATAGCATTTTGTTTTCCTATTTCTATGTCCCAATACTCACTGTCTCTTGAAAAAGGTATAAAGCATTAACTTTTAGTTGTTACCGTGCGGATTTATTGTATTCTCTATATAGTATTTCATATACTTAAATCACTCAACACACGAACTCCGTACACGAAGTTCACATAAGATTATAGCATGTATGATACATATTTTAACTGCTTGTTTAAACGGTTTCTGTGTTTCATATACAAATTGATGTCGCCATCTTCATCATTTCGAGATTGGCAATTCGACATTCGAATGAATATTTGAACTCTAGGTGAGGCCGTCGACAGGAAAGCAACATTATCATATCTTCGTAACGGTTAAATAATCACTCAGTAGTAACTCATAAGCTGGACGTCAACCCAAAACAGGTACAACTGGCATCGGGAAACTTTGTTAATAATAAATCATTGAGCTTCGGAAATTATAATTTGAAATGGTCAACGTCCGAATTGAGAAATCGTCCTCGACAGATTTAATCGTCTTATATGAAAAAGGCAATAACGGAACTGACCCGCTGTGGTCGTCGATCAATGCGTTTCGTTTATTTTTAAATCCTAGGTCATGTTGCTTTTCCTGTTGATGTAAAATATCATCTGTGGCTTTACCGGTCCACGTTTTTATCAGGTAACACCGAAAAGGCACTCATTGTGTTGCGAATAACTTTACGTCAATGGTTATAAAGGTTTTGTATCATCAAGTTTTTAATAGTAATAAATGTCTACTTTTGGCTATCGTTTCTTTGCAGGTAAATTAGACCATGTAGTTCATTTCGTAGAGCATGCTGTGAATAAAATAAAAATAACATGCGTCGCTAAGACTTATCGCATCTCAATCGAGAGATCGCATAGACCGCCGCTGCAGCGTTCAACGTTTCTTTTACTTGAGAGGCTTGAGAGTTTGAAAAACCCTCATATTTTCAGTCATACTTTTGTCCTGCGATGGTCAGTCAGACGAAGGCCAACAACCTTAACAGATTTACGGATGCATTTAACGTCTCTTTTACATGTATTTTTAACACATCTGTGTATTTTTAACACAAATGTGAATACGAACACGTTCCTCATCAAAAGTGAAAGTTCTTATTTGGAATATTTTCAGCGATATGATTTTTTTAAAGTGAAAAGTTGCCCAACGACCAGGCGGTTCACCTGATGTTAAGTGAATACCGCCCATGGACATCTGCTACACCCAAGGGTTTGCAGATGCGTTGGAAATTGAGCTTTTTGGAATTGGAAAATGAATGCGTTGTTAAATTTTAATGATTATTTTTTCTCAGAGATGAGTCATAAAATTTTGGCCAAGATGTGATGATGGAAATCCATTAAAAATCAGCATACTCTTTAATTTACAAAGACTGTAGACGAATCAGTTTTGAAAATAAAACAGTTGTTTTCTTTTCTACATCCTTGAGTCTAAATGAAGGGTTTTTATTTTTTTTTTTTCAAAATCAAAATCAAAATCAAAAATATATTTATTCAAATAGACGCTTGCGCGCTCTTATGAATCGTCAAATTTTACATCAAAGATTATGTGTATAGGTTCGTAAGGTACCACCGGTTCGGAAAGCGGTTTCTGTTGAGAAGAGACCGGCAAGAAACTCAACAGTTGCTCTTTTTCAAAAATATCAGGGTACAATATAATATACAGGTATAATAGTCTTATTCTAGCCTACGTGAGTATCAACAGTATTAACTCCACACATTGGCGTCGTCGAGATATTCCGAAATGGTATAATATGCTTTAATCATCAGTTGATTTTTAATTTTACATTTAAATTGGTCAAGCGGCAGACTTAATATCGACTGTGGGATTTATTATACATGCGCACACTTTGCCCCATGAACGACTTATTTACTTTTTGTAGACGAAACAATGGCGTAGTAAGTTTGTCCTTATTTCTAGTGTTTATTTTATGTCTGTCACTATTCTTTAGGTAATAATTAAGGTTATGACGTATATACAAAACATTACAATAAATGTATTGACAAGCAACAGTGAGTATATTAACCTCTTTGAAAAGATCTCTGAGTGAATTCCGGGCTCCGATATTGTAGATTGCTCGGACAGCTCTTTTTTGTAGAATAAATATAGAATTTATATCTGATGCACTACCCCACAACAAAAAATGCCGTAAGACAAGATGCTGTGAAAATAACTAAAGTAAACAAGTCTGGCAGTGTCGATGTCTGTTAGCTGCCTAACCCTTCTAATCGCCAAAACCGCGGAGCTCAGCCTATTCGCAAGAGATGATATATGGGAACTCCACTGGAGCTTTGAATCTACTGTAATTCCCAGAAATATAGCAGACTCAACTGAATTAATGGGTACGTTATTTAATATTAAACTAAAACTTTTCCTTCTTATACTGGGAAGGGTAAAAAGAATACATCTGGTTTTTTTGGCATTTAATACCATATTATTAATAGTAAACCAGTGGAGGATATGTGAAAGTGCACTATTCACGTCGTCATAATTTAATACGTTTCGGTCAACTTTAAAAATAAGCGATGTATCGTCAGCAAACAGTACAACATCACACAACCAACTGGCATAAAAGGGGAGATCATTAATATATACTAAAAATAATAATGGGCCCAAGATTGATCCTTGTGGGACTCCCATTTTCATCTGGGACCCAGCGGAATTAACATAATTTATAGATACTTTTTGAATTATATTACTAAGGTAAGAGGCAATGAGATTGAGGGCGATGCCACGAATGCCATAATATTCTAGCTTTTGAAGGAGAGTTTTATGGTCTACGCAGTCGAAGGCTTTTGAAAGGTCACAAAAGACACCTATTGCATCTTGTGACCTTTTAAACGTATTATATCAAATATTCCAAATGGTTACGAATAATTTCGCGCGGTCATCCGAATACGCAATTGCAACAAATTTCTAATTTATCTCTTATCCTTTATACGAGCAATTATTGTATATATATATATATGATCGGAATCTCAGAACCGGCACCAGCGATCTTCATGAAATTTAGTATGTTCGTAGATTCGGGGGCGAAAAATCAATTTAGCTAGGTTTCATTTTTAGAAAATGTCCTTTTATCCCTGTTTTCAGGGAATGAAAAATATCATTCGAATATGACAGTAAATTTCGCCGCAAAAAAATGTTATAATTAATAGCTCGGACGGTAATCGGGCAGCCCCAAAAACGACGGCCGCGGTTCGTATCACGATCATTTACACGCTTATTTCTTTTTCTATACCAGATCATATTCTTTATTCTTTTTTATTTCCAAAATACATGATTTTCCAAAAAAAAAAAACGAGCAAAGCTCGGTCCTCCGGGTACTAATTGCCTTATTTATGTAACTCGTTTAGACGTTTCCAGTAAACGGTGACAGCAACTAGGTTATGTTTACAGCCCAAAAGCGAACGGCCATTCGCGTTAGCATTACACAAAGAATTATAAATTCTCGTGTCGGACGTTACAAAATATTGGATAGCCGAAGGCAACGCGAAAATTACTTAATTGCTTTCTAGACCATTTCGTTGAACGTGTTGCGAAGTGTATCGAGGTGGTGGAATTATCAAAATTTTCGGAGCCCGCGCATCGGTAATGCCAGCAGGCCGATTGCGAAGCGAATAAAAAGACAGTCAATAGGGCTGCCAGTTTTGTTTTACTAGTACAATGATTATTTTCATGTTATTTACGGTAGACTAATTATCATAAATCTAGAGGAAAGATTATTTTGGAGCTATTTAATATTTGCGCAATTTCCTTATATTCTTCAAGTTTTAACTTAAATATAAATATTACTATTTTCAAAAAACCCAATAACGATATACATAATCTTGTGTTATATATGGATTTTAAATTACTTTATATTGATGTGCATCAGGCGCACGTTATTAGGTAATTTATTTTTATCTTGAATAATAACATCATTTATAACAGTGAAAACCTCTCACATTGTTTTTTGTCTCCTCTTACTGAATACTTATATGTATTATGAATGTCTTATATGCTTATATGAATCATCACTTATATTTTCTGTATCCGTCTATTGATTCCAGACGTCGGATTTTACAAACACATTAACAAAATTAGAAGTACAACCCAATGGTATAGTGTGCATTCAATCCCTCGCAATTCGAATTTCAAATTCACTCGAGGAAACCCACAGCCCTACCTGCGAGCCGCGAACTGGGGTTTCGTACGCGCACAACTTGCGCGTCATAACGTAACGCAACGTTTGAGAACGTTCTATGGGATGGATGTCGGGTAGTGGGGTGGCCGGTGCCTCTGTGGCACTGGGTCAGTGGTTCCGCAGGGCGCAAGCGCGGCCGCTCTGGCGCAACGTCCTTACGTAAGGCGGGCCGCGGTGAAAGTTGCCAGCCGCGAGCCAGGCCGCCGCACGGCATCCCGTGGATGCGAACGTTTTTCTCGACAATAGACCATGCCCCGTGTATATAATCCTCGCGCTTATTAGGTCTACATTTAAAAAAACAACTGCATATAACATATATGCAGTTGTTTTTTTTATTGTTTTCTATTTATTTTTATTACTTGAATTAAGAATCAATGAAATTGTTTAAATCTGTCACTAAATATCCTTGATACGTGTAATTTGAAATAAATTAATACAATTTCAAATTTATTTTTAAACTTAGAACAGCAAAGGTTAACATTTAAGTACCTATTAATTGTACATAATCGATTGTTATACACCAACCAATTAAATCGGACTAAACTAAATGTTGCACCGTACTCAATTGACACCGTTCGCGGAGTGGTCTATGCAAATCACTTTTTAAAATAGTTGACCGGAATGTCCCACCGTCGTGTATAATTGATGCAAATTCGTATCGTTTCAATGTTGGGCAACTGTCACTGTGCGTTACATAACGCGCGGTGGTTTGTGTGTAACAGTTAAAATATTTTCAAGTGTAAGTGGGAGCGGGCGTCGCGCGGACCGTGTCAAGGTCCCGCGTATAATAGACAGTTGTGTAACACATGAGAGCGACTTCGTTCCATCCTTATACAGTTTAAACGTTTGCGTGTTCCCTATTGGACGAAGGCGTTTTTTCACGCGTTCCGTGCCACTCTGCGAGATCAAGTTAATTTCAATAAAAACGTAGTGGCATTGAACGTGTTAAATGTTAATGTTACTGACCAGGGCTTGACGGTGTTAAGCACACTGGCTCGGCACAAGCATTCGCTATGTCTCACAAGTATGAATAGACGGAGACATAAATGGAGAAAGAATTAAACACAGCTTTATGTTGTATAAAATCGACCAAAGCGGTTACTTTGCAATAACTTCCTGTTAAAATATATTTAATTCGATTACATTTTCAAACAGGTTCATTTGCAATCTAGATTTACACGAATACTTTGATTTCATATACACAGCATTTGTTGCGAAGGTGAAGTATCACATGACGCAAAACTTCTTTACCTAATCTCATATCGTACGAGTAATCGTTCAATTTTTGTCCACAGTATTTGTAATATCTGATCATCATTTGTAATCATTGTTAATCATTCTACTAAATGTTCTTGAGAAACCTTGATGAATATAAATAAATAAATAAATAAATATTTTTAGGACATATTTTTACACAACATTTTCTAGTCCCAAACTAAGCAACGCTTGTACTATGGGCCTAGATAACTGATAAACATACTTAAATATACTTTTCTTTTGTAAATAAATACATATTATACATATATAAACACCCAGACACTAGAAAAACACTATGTTCATCACACAATATTTTTTCAGTAGTGGGGATCGAACCCACACCCTCTGGCGCAGGAGGCAGGTACACTACCCATTACGCCATTCGGGTCATAGACTCTCCTGATAGACTCTCCTGATGGTTTAGGCCCGATATACTGTCGTCTCATTTATGATTTCTTGGTAATTTATAAATCGCTGTTCGTCGACACGTGTACCGATCTAATTCTGCGTATCTCCGTAAGTACAGCGTATTGCATATCGAGTGTTTTGTTCCGAGCCGCTAGTTCGATAAACAATATCTAGTGTCGCCCTTAGATCGCCGGTCTCGCATCACATTCGGGGAACGTGACAATACGCGGTGGCATACCGACGTGCGTTTGGAAACAGAACGTGCTGTCACCACTTCCGATGCGATTGTTAATTTGATACGTCGACGACGAAAAGGTCTCCGTTTAACGCACCACTAATTCGATCAAACATAACTGACGATATGCTCAGCGAATTACAAGACGATCCGGCTATAAAATGTCCAGGTTCAATTACTCGCAAAAACTTTTTCTGTCATACGGCTATTTTGTGTGTAATGCAGTATTCAAGCAAATCCTATGAAATAAAGCTAAAAATAAATAAAAATAATATACGAGATCACTTTCTTAAATGCCATAATAAGCTATCCCCTAGTCAATTATATGTATGATTGATTCAATGGGTGCAAAAAATCATTATCTATGGAACGTTCACAATTTTGATCACTGATGCAATTTGATAATTTGACTAAATACTATTATTACAAAATAGTTGAAACGCCCTCGAAATGTTGGAAAAAACAAGTCATACCACTGTATCGCCCCCCTTTCTCTTTGCCATGCTTTGTAACGTAACTTCTGTCGGAATTTTCTTAATCGCTCTTTCTGTATGCGAAATCTGCGAACGTACGATTTTAAAAGGACGGCGCCGCAACACGCATACATTGCTCACACTTCCGCCATCTATTCTAGCCAAGTTACGACTTCTCTACGTATGTCCGTTTAATAAGCAAAATCGAGTGTTAGGCATCGTAAAATTTTTAATAAAAAAATCGTTATTTTTTTTTCCTTTCCCAAGTGTGCCTAATGCGTGCACATGCGGATTACTTTTACATTAATATTTTCATAGCGTACCTAAGCGTGTTTTAGCAGTCTACACTACTCAAATTATGTTTAGACATATACAACAACAAACACAAACATAAAATTTGTTTATCTGTGTTCTACTCTTATCATTCCTCTGAACCTGAATATCTGCACTTAAGTTAATTATATTAACTTAAAGTGCAAAAATGAATGAATAAGGAACTCAAAACGATAAAGTAGTCAATCAGGTACTAGTAAACTTTGCATTTATTTAAAGGTTTTCTTTGTTCAATTATCCGGTAGGCTTATGCATATAAATCGGCAAAAATATTTTAATTACCACCACGTTAGAGTTCTGTTTATCGGTATTTAAGCTATTAGTTGTGGTGAGAAATAATAATATGAGATAAATTATTATCTCATATTATTATTATTTAACTCTTATAATTACTTTGAAACTGAATACCTATCTATACTTTAAATTAAACTTGGTAAAAAAAATACAAAACGATAAAGCAATCTACTCTCAAGTATTATTTAGTTAAAGGTATTCTTTGTTCAATTATCCGGTATGAGAATAAATATAAATCTGAAAAAATATTTTAATTACTCCAAAATATCAACATCTTGAATACACATTACTTGACCCCACTTTTAACGGTATACACGAATATACTTATAATAATAAATAGAGGGAAAATATTTAAGGACGATATAATTTGTTTTATTTTATTTAAGTAATCATTAGGATGGTACTAATGATTACTTAATTACTTAATGATTACTTGGCTCAGGATCGTACTTCGTGGCAGTCTATGGGGGAGGCCTATGTTCAGCATTGGACTCAAACAGGCTGAAATGATGATGATGATGATGATGAATCATTAGGATTACTACAAAAATATATAGATTTTGTCACATAAGATGTATGTATAACATGAGTACCGCATTACAATATGATTAATAAACATTAATTTACGTGTTAATTATCTGATTTAATAATCTGGAATAAAATGTCACGCAAATTTAATAACTTATTTTAAATTGAAATCAAATATTGTTTTTGATTTTGAACTTTTATTTATAATTGTATATTTCTTTATTGTCGAACACCATTTGTATATTTAATTTTCCGATAAAACCTCGCCTCATGATCATGCATAAGCTTTATGTTAGAAATTTACTTTTGTACAAATTTCGTACAGACATTATTTAAGTTTGAAAATAGAAAGTATTCCTACTAATAACGTCGATGAAATATTAGGTTAATTAAGCAGAAACATGTGATTGTGATACACACAAAATCTTTATTGTTAAATCTTATTACTTTAAACTAAGGCTACTTTAAGTTAAAAAAAATACTTAAGTTATTAATTGTCAGTGAATAATTTCTGATTATGATAAACAGGAACTTTCCACTGTCGTTTATTCTACGGCAGCTTAATAAAACCTTTAATATAAATAAGTCAATTACCCTGATTACCGTGGCTAGGGGACAAATATATTAAATTATTTTATTATCACCCCTTTATAACACGCGCCAAATAGCAGTTAATAGTTTTACCCCCAAAGGACACTTTTTTGTGGCCGTTTTAAAATTGTTATTGGCAATTCGCGTTTAATTAATAACGTCAAGCCAATTACCTCCAACGGGGCTAGGTGTTACGCGTCTAATTAATAAAATGTAAATACGCTATGTTAATTAAATTACACAAGGTTCCAAATTCAAATAGGTTATTTTTTTTTTGGTGGATCGACCGGAATTAACTTTCGAGTGATCGCTCCGCCGCATCGGAGAGGTTTGCTCAACGTCGTTACGTAAGGTACGACGGCTGATCTAAACTCAGCTGATGTACCATTGCTGGCGTAACTTCACAGTCGCACCACGGCGTTTTGCTAGATTACGACTGGGATTGCCCATTAGCCTTAGTTTTTACACAATCGTGCAACTGGCGCAAGGTACTTTAGGCACTTCGTAGCAAGATATGTAGGGCTTTTGGCGTGACTTAATCGCGTCAGTAGTCTTACATACATCTTATGAAGCGAACATTCTGTATTAAGACAAGTTTCATAGGATTCTGTACCATCTATCACAAAAGACCACGTCACTGTTTACCAATAGACAGGACAATAATCAAGTCAAAGTAGCCAGTTTATGTCTGATAAATCTAACTTTTGGATTCCTATTCGCACCATTAAAGAAACGAACTGCAAATATACGACATGAATACACATTCACCGTCGACGTAGTCCGCGCTAAGAAATTTGTGTGACGTTGTACAAATATTTTTTTCTTTTCTTTTTGTTTCCTTATATAACATTTTTTTAGCTTAAGAGGACCGGCACAAGCTTCGCCCGACGTCGCTTTTTTTTATTATTTCAATTTTTCTAATAAAAATTACGATAGACCGGTTAGTAAAAACGTAAGAGCAAGCGGAAATAAAAAGAAAAACAAAATATGTGAATTGTTTATATTTATGAGGACGCTTGACGTCAGTAAATTAAAGTACTTTTGCAGATTTTATCGCTATATATTTCAATTAAAACTTAAATTCAATATCAAAAA